TTTGTACTTCCCATGGGATCGCCGCTCTCACCACTTTTGGCCAATGTATACATGAACAAAATAGAAGAGACCGCTACAACCAACAGTGCTTATGCGGTATCTGGACGATTACTTGGCACTTTGGTCACATGCAAGAGAAAAACTGGAAGAGTTTCTAAAGTTTGTAAACCAGATTGATGCAAAAATTCAATTCACGATGGAAGTAGAGGACGGTGAGCGGCTACCGTTCCTGGACGTTGAAGTGGTTCGCTTTAATGGGACACTCAAAAAGAAATTGTACCAAAGAAGTCCTATGCAGGTGATAATACTCAATTTCCGGTCCCATCACAATTACAGACTGAAGATTGGAATAATGAGGAGCATGATCATCAGAAGCCTACGCCTGACGGATGCAGAATTCTGGGAAGATGAGCTGGACAAATTGACGAGGATATTGCTCGGCAACGGTTACCCAATCGAAGTGATACAAAGTAGCATACGTTCTATGAAAAGCCGATGGCAGAACGGGGACTATGAAAGGACAGAAAGGACGATGAATGAAGGAGAAATCAACACTTTTCACAAGTTTACAAATTGGATCTTTATGAGTTTAGTGTCTATTATGCGGCAGCTGCTGACAGAAATATATTGGCGAAACAGGGAGACAAATTAGCACACGAATCAAGGAACATCAGAGGCTCTGCAAGAAAATGGATACCGAAAGATGAGAACTATCGTATAGACTGGACGCGAGAGCAATTGGAAGACAACAACAAGAAGAGCTCCATGCGGGGACAACCCAAGGAAGCGCAAGATTAGGGAGGCCATTGATAAAAACTTGGGGAGATAAATTTAATGAATAGGAGATTTGAGGAAGGTAGAGTTGGCGATAAATTTGCCAACTGCCTAAGCAAACTCGGGGAAAACAAGAATGGAGCAAGAATAGCGAAAAGGAGACTCCTGAATCAAGGATCTACCGATAGCTGGAGGAAAATAGATCACGATGAAGAAAGTGAGAGGAAGGGTTTTTCGGCAATAAAGCGAACAGGTTGTCAGTGAGTGATAAACCAATACAACTTTGGGGGCCTGGCAGTCAGAGAGCTGGGCAGACAGAGAAGCAAACCGTCACGGAAATTCGGCCTAAATGTACCAGAAATCCACTTGAAATGCCGCATGCGACCAGAGATGGGCGTCCACAGTTTGATCAGATAACATGGCTTTAATCGAGGAGAGGATCCGTGAAGAGAAGGCCTGATCTCTGCAAGCATGGCATTCACAGTCTAGGCGCTGTGCTCGGTGATGCGGCAATGTACGTGCTTCTAGGGCCTCGAGAAATATCGTCCGGACTGAAACGCAGACTGGGACTGGAAACGAGTGAAATCGGTCAACCAGAAAGAAAAGGAACGGATCTACGAGAAAATGAGGTGATCCAGATTGAAGGCCCGATTCAGATCAGTCGATTGAAAGAGTGTGGGTCGGGGTGAATGGCAACTGGGATGAGGCCACACTAGATTTGCCACAAAAGAGCACACATTTTGACGAGTGGAATGTTACCCAGTGAGCAGTTGTGATCGGGCGGGAGTGGGATAAGAGGGCAAAGAGTGGATAGATAGGAGAGGATAGAAAGAGGAGTGACAGTGGAACCGTTTTCGGCAGATCGTTTGTCGAGGGATTGACTCACTTTGTCTCTGACGCGTTCGTAGTTTGGTGCGAATGGCAAAACGTTTGAGAATGTACCAAGTTCACTTTCTGATGCTGGGAATCATGACAACTAGTATGGCAGACGACTTCGGACTAGATGCGTTCTACTAATTCGCCCTGACAACAACGAGGTCAACCCACTTTTAATTTTTCAAAGTTTATTCATCTCTCTTTTTATTCGCCATTATACCATTACAAATGCAATGCAAGATAAGCAAGATTTTAGTACTGTATTAGTGAAAACTTAAGACTGATACAATAGGCCTACAAGAACTCCGTCTTGCAGTGAAAGATACATTTTCATTCCAGTTTAATTTTGTTTTTTTGATTTGTCATCAAAAATGGTTACCTTCTATCCAAGATAATAGTTTAATATATGTCTACACCCGAAAACACGTCAAACACGCGAGCCTATAAATACAAAGATATTAGTCTCAGATGTATCAGTTTTGGATTATTTAAAGGTTTCGCGAGTTGAAAAATAACTGGGTTCCGATGAATCTACTGAGATAACATTATTGCTTCGACTTTCATTTCGTATGAATGTGTATGAAGAAGAGATTTAAAGGTCAATCTCACCGGAAGAGAACGGTTGAATCACGTTGTGCCGCAACAGTTTAGCGTTTATGCGACGCTGTGATCGACGCAGTCCACTTTTCGGGTGTAAATGGGCTGAGCTTTCGTCCGTCAGATGATGGACTGCGTCAGAGCTGGACTCATTCTTGTACAATCCTCAACAAAATTCAGCCCGATTTCACCTAAAACAAGGAAAGATGTCAGATGGACGGCGTCAACTTGAATGTGGTATAAAAGTCAAACGGCTGCAGTACAAAATGATCCAACCATCCTCTTGTGGTGAGATCAAACTTCGAATCTCTTCTTCATACACTTTCATACTAACTGAAAGTTCAAGCAATAAAAGTTTGTAGATACGGAGAGAAACTTGGTTTCGATGAATCTCACGAGATAACATTGACTCGACTAAGTCTATATAAGAAGTAAGATGAAGCCGGATAGTGTTCTC